GGGGGGTGCAAGTTAGAGACCCTGAAAACTGTCACCCCGTCCCTTCGAGTGCTGGTCTGAAGAGCATATTGGCTAGACAAGAGGACCATGGAGAGAAGCAAGACCTGCAAAACAATAAAAAATAAATAAAAATAAAAAACCCAGGAAGTGCCAGCTGATTCATTTCCCTCCCGAGGCATCAGAGTCTGCTGCTGGAGAAGGGAGAGGCAGAGATGCACTCAAAACAGGCTGGGTCAGAGCTGCAGCCTCCGCTTGCTCTAAAAATAAAGCCCATGAAGAAAGGGAAGGCGAGTGCACCTGGAGGTGGAGCCAGAGGTCAGGTGGGCAAAGCTTTTAAATGTACCATCTTGTCCGGTCCTCAGTGGGAGACAGCCTGGTGACATTCCCCTAAGCTCAAGGAGAGCGCCGCCGTGAGCGGGCGGCTGCAAATCAAGTCAGCGGTGGCCTGAACAGCCTTTTCTAACCCTGTCTGACAGAAGCATCAGGTCAAGCCTCTAAATTTCTCGTGTTGGTAGGTTTGGAACAACAAAGCAGAGACTTTGGCGAAGCAGAGTCCTTGTTCTGGAAGGCAGAGGTGACTTTGCACACAGCGCCTCAACATTTTCTAACTCCCTCAGTCCAGTTGTCACCAATAACCTGGCCAAGGACCGAAAGGTGACGGCGCCCACCAGGAAGGCAGAAGGGCTCTGAGTGATACCCACAGGCGTTGCCAAGCCTGCTGAGGGCTTGGGGGACGCTACCCGGAGGCCTTTTCTCTGTGGCTCCAGACAAATTAAAAACCTCCTTACCAGCCATTCACTCAGAGGAGGCCTCTTCCTTGCTCCGCGGGGGGCTGCTGTGTTGCTGGAGATCTGGTTGGGGGGCGGGGGGAGGCTGGGCCTCCCGGGGCTGGCGAGGAGGGAGAGCCTCAAGAATGGAAAGGGGCCCTATCCAGAAAAGATTGGCAGTCAGGGAGCGGGGACAAAGTGCAACCAGGTCACTGGGGTAAAAAAAAAAAATCACCAAATAAGGGAGTGAGGGAAAGTTCCACTTCCAGCCTCATTAAGGAAGAGGCCTGAGCAGAGAGCGAGGCGGGAAGAGCCCGGAGCAGAGAAAAAAGAAAGTGGGACGATGCCGAGAGCAGAAAGGTTCTTAGGGTGCGCACGCAGGACGGGGCGGCACCTCCTCCCTCGGGATCCCCATTCCTGGAAGCACACCTGCCCAGCCACTCCCGAAGAGGGGGAGCGAAATGCCCTATTAAGGGTGGGACGAATTGATTTTCCAAAGAAGCTCGGCACCATTTCCTCCCAATGCCCTCTCCAGGCCTCCTTAATCTGCCCCGGAGGCAGCAGGTGACCTCTGCGCTGGCCCCCGAGGCGCCTTTGTTCCCGGCCTTCTGCGGCCCGCCCGCCGCCGCCTGCACCTGCGCGGCCCCGGCTCTGTCCACGCTCGGCCTCTCGCGGGGTGCACCGGGCATGCCTTTGTACCCCGAAAGCCACTGCTCCTCCTCCCGTTTGCTTTGGGCTGGACAGTCACCAATGGCTCCATTCTGGCGGCGGTGGAAACCTACTCCCAAAAGGGAAATGGGGGGAGTGGACCCCGCCAACTTCATCTGGGAGGACCAGTTTGGGAGCCAGGCTACTAGGGAGGCCTAGAGCCTCTGTCCTTTTGGACCCATGGTCTCCAGATGCGCCCTGCCGACTTTTAATCCAATCCCTCCGAGGTTTGCTAATTTAATTGTGTAATGGGCACACCTGAGACATTCCCTTCGCTCTCATTAGGGCATTTCTTAGCAAAAACGGAAGACAAATGAGAATATTAAGACAGGGTGTTCACTGAAAGCTTTTTGCCATCGTTAGAACATCCCAGTAAGCAGAAGAACACAGATCGGAGGGGTGGCGGGGCCTTCAAGCTGGAGACTGGCAAGGAGATCTCAAGTTCTTGCTACGTGAGCCCGAGTTAAGCATCTAGCCTTTGTACCTTAAATACCTAGGTTTTAAGGAGTGGGTCTCCAAACATTCATTATTCATGGTAGCAGGACGGCCGGTAGGCCACTGTGTGGAAACAAAAAGACTTCCCGTGCTAAAGGTTAATAAAAGTGTAATTTGAATCATGAAATCTTTATGTCCGCTCAATTTTACACCGAAGGCTCATTAAAGATGCGGTTGGTACCGGGGGCTGCGGGTGACGTCACAACGGGTATTTAAATGGGCGGGGCCAGGCCGCTCTGCAAGCAATCCTTTAAAAAATATAAAAGCCTTCCTCTTTCCTTCTCTGTCTCTCCAGCTGTAACAACTTCACCAACTGTCTAGGTTCCACCCCGAGGATTTCACAGAGAGAACACGTTAGAGGGAATCAGGAAGCAGAGAAAAGGTCACAAATAAGCGCCTCAGGAACAATGAAAGCTTTTCTCTATGCAGCAGTGGGAGAGTTGCTAGAAAAACGGGAAAGGTATTAATCAGAAGTGGCTATAAATCCTCTGGAGTTTTGCTCTTATAAAACTCCTCAGAAAAAGTCTTGAAGGAAATGCAGGTCAAAGCCCAAAAAAGCTCTTGATCAGAGATTGCTGGAGGAAAATCTTCCCAGACGCCGTTTAATAGGCAGCAATCACCCCAGGAGTGGGGAAGCCAAGTACGCTTGAAACATGGTTGCAATTCCTAATAGGTCTTGTCACACTTAAGGCACTGCAAGCTCCATCCAACGAACAGCTGAAGCTAGCTGGCGATTCATAAAGCCAACAGTTTAAAGTTTATTATGATGAAAGCACTTAATGACAGCCATCGCTAGGGGCCCATCATTTATAAAGCTGTGCTCGGTATTAGACATGTAGCATGACCACCAATTTTATGTCACAATTGCTACCATAAAATGACCTTTGGTGATTTTTGCTGCATGTGGTGGACAGCTCTTCCTCCACATTAGTGCTCTGTGGCTTTCTTTGCAGACTATTATGCTGTCTAAAGCTTATTTGGCACTGTCGTGAGCCTCAACCCTGGTTATTACCCCGAAGGCCTGTCTAAAAAAAAAAAAATCTCATGCTCTATTACGCCACTGCAATAATTTGCAGTTCTTGGGTCGTGTAATATTTTAATGCAAATATGCTTTACTATTGCATTCTGTTTATTTATTTATTTATTTTTCCAGTTTCCCATGTATGATGCTGGCTAGTGAACATTCTCCTGTCGTTGTTCACTGAAACTGGTCTTTCCTGGTCAGCTCTACTGATTGGATACTGTTTATTCTGACCAGTTAAAACAGTGACAGAAGAAGAAGAAAAAAGGTTAATTAAACTCCAGGGTGTTTTGTGGTTTGTTTTTTTTTTTTTTTTTTTTTTTTTTATATAGCATGTATGATGAACCCATCCCATGCAAAGCCACCAGCTCTTATTTCCCTGCATCCAAGCCCAATGCAAATTTCCATGTGAGTAACATTATTTAATTAGGCTTCCATTTGTCTCCCTGCTTTGTATAGTTAGAGAGTGTTTAAATACACGTCCACTTTACTGCTCCTCTGTAAGCTGCTGTTGAGAAAGTGGCCTGTCCATGCTACCTTTAAATTGTGTATATAATTTTATAAATGATATAAAATCTGCTTCTAGGCTCTAGGGGAAAAAAAAGAACTACAAGCATGGCACACTGCAATTTTGGAAGGATTTAAAATATGTGATTTCTGCCGGTACCTACAGTATTGGGTTTTATATAAAGCTTTTTCAATAAGGTAAATTGTTACATGACAAACTCATCTTCCACCATTATCATCTGCTGTTTGTGTTTAACAACAGGAGTCCCGCTCTAACAAAACTGTTGTAATGGCTGCACAAATTACTCAGCTGAAAGCTTTTCACCAAACAAAACAGTATTAATCAGCAGTTCTTATGAAGGTGCTAATTAAAAACAATTTTCTTCCTCAGTTTGCAATACTAAAGCCATCTTCACTTGCACAGTTTCCAATATACAGCTACTGTATTTGCTCACACTTCAGGCCCTCCATTAACTATTGAATCTCCTATTAGCCATTTTATTACATTTCTGTTTACAAGCTTGTTGACATTTTAAAAGTCACAGTATGATCTGTTTTATCTATTAAAAAATGTATTAATTGAAAAGTCAGGGAGACAAAAAAATAAATAAATACAGATTCCAAATGTACAGACTTCCTGAAGGCTACACAGAAAGCCTTTAGTCACAGCCTGGGCAGCAGGCAATCTGGATAAAACGGAATCTAAGAATTCAAAGTGGCATTTCAGGCCTGACGGTTTGTCAGACACCAGTGTACTAGGCTCCTTTATAACTGGGAAATAGTCCACTCAGGAAAACATAGTCGCTCTGGCTAAAGCCAGTCTGCCTTTCAAACCACCTTTCTTTCTTCCGTGAGATAGAGGCAGTGTAATTATGATGTTTCTGCATCCTGAAGACAGGAGAGTTTGGACTAAGGGACTGGGGCCAAGCAGCCTGATTGCCCCAGTGAGTGTGGTATATCCACATATGTTCAGCGAGCCTCTCTTGACCATGTGGGCATCCTGCCCCTCCCCCAAAGTCCAACCAAAGAGTTTGCCACACAATGCTTCCCAATTGTCTGGCATTGATTGGAACCAAATCAAACACTGACTAAGCACAAAGCCAAAATCTACAGAAGTAGATTCTGAGTAGAGGGAAGGAGACAGCCCACTCCTATCAAAACAAAAACAAAACAAACAAACAAAACACACCCATCTCTTAGAAAAAGGTGTGCCCTACTTTAGTAGTGGGGAAAAGATTTAAAGAAGAAGAAGAAGAAGAAGAAGAAGAAGAAGAAGAAGAAGAAGAAGAAGAAGAAGAAGAAGAAAAGAACTCCTACATCCCACCTATTGCATTTACCAGGTTCTTCAACTGTCAAAGGCACTTAACCAGTAGGACAGACACCTGGCTGCTGTCGCAGGGCTCCAGAGGGCCACTAATCCTGCCTTTCACTCAGTTAACTGCTGGATCCCCCAAACTAAATTCAACAGGTATGCAGTGGTAAATTCAGCCTCTACTGAAGCCAAAGGGAAAATCAGCAAGGGGCGGGCAGCTCTTCTCTGAAAACACCCGAGGAACCAGCCAGAAAAGCTTTTATGGCCCCGACAAGTTTTCTGCTGAATACTGAGCACCTAAATTACCCTTCCCTAATGGAAGTTACATTTTCATGCTCAGTCAAAAAGCCAACAAAATACACAATTCATACAAAATAGCAGCAACCTCTCAGGTAGTCCTTCTGAGCACTTTTATCCCAATTCACAGCGTATGTCTTGCTATAAAATAAAACATATTTCTCATAACCAACTTGGACGTGGCTGTTCATATCACTGCTTTACAATGGCCAGTGGACAGTATTAGATGCATTCTTACACCCAAACCCTCACATCTACAAAAAAAAAATCAAGCGTTTTATAAGAATATTAAAAAAATCTATTAAAAATACTAATTCTTAACATTGTTTTCCATTTAGAAAATTTTCCTGGCCTGTGTGTGACACAGTGTGCATGTGAAGATCAGAGGACAACTTCTTCCAGTCAGTTTTTCCCTTCCTCTGGGTCCAGGAATTGAACTCAGGGTGTCAGCCTTGGATGTAAGCATGTGGAGCTGCTGAACCATCTCACTGGCCCAGAATATCCTAGGTCTTATGATTCCCCAGGCACGCAGGGTGCTTTTGGAAACAAACATGTGCATAATTATGAAGAAAACTGTAGAAAGGACTACTTCAATTCTACATATGATGCTAATGCATAGACATAATTAAAGTTCATGAAGAAATATAAATATGAAAAACTTTTTAGAGCTGCCTTATCTTTCCTTCTTGATATTTGCATTCTATCAAAAATGTGAAAATTTAATTTAAAACTTTGAAAATATTTAAAAAATGTAACATTAGTTTCTTATAACTTATATAGCACAGAATTATTTCCAGGTAAGGATTCAATAAAAAAAAAACAAAAAAATAAAACCACTTCCATGGACCACCGAACATGCGAAAGGTGTGTCTATAGGCCACAATCATGCCATGATATTTTCTTTATTTATTATATATTTAACTGGGTATTTCTTAGTAGGAATAGCTCAATTCTGATACACTATTCTCAGATATTTCTAAAACCCCACTGCTAGTTTGCTTTAAAAAAAAAAAAGAAAGAAAAAGAAAAATACAACTTCTCCTAAAGAAAGAATCACTGCATTTGTATATCTGCAGCACACAAATAAAAATTGAATTTCTGCCAGTTCGTGTATTTTTCTGGTTGAAAAGAAAGGAAATATTCTCATGGTCCTGCTGTTCTATACTTAAAAGGGGGGAAATGATCATCTTAGGCAGCACCACAGAGACAAGCGTCCTTTGTCTGCCAGACTTAGTTGCAGGTTTTACCTGGGAAATAATTCTTGTTGAATTTTCGTCGGTAGGAGCGGAATGACTTGTGTTGCCTTTTAAAACATCCCAAATTCTAATTTTTCAAACAAGAAAATATGAAGCCAGTGTGCCACTCACACAGTCGCCAAAGGAGAGCTGCCACCAGCTGAACTACTCAGCTAAATGGCTGGTTTGCATTGCCCTGGTCTTTATCTAGCACTGAGAATAGACTGCTGTTTTATCCAAAGAGGAATAAATTGCTGTTATTGTGATGTTAGCCCATCACTTGGCATTGCAATTCAAGTTTTTGTGAGAAAGAAATGTATGATCTAACTGCGACTTGACCTATGCCTTCTGAGATCCATCTAGGTGCTCTAATGGAGCAGAAGAAGTGGGGGATGCAGGGACATGCAAACTGATGGTAAAATTTTTGTTTGATGATAGAACTGGGCAGCGAAGATATCTGAGAGTCGCTACTTGTATGACAGCTAAGTTTGCTTAACATGCAAAACGATGTGCCTCCCCAGGCCGCCCCCACCTATCACTTTAATTGTATCACATCCAATACACATTTTTCTTCTGCTAACAACTTGAGGGTACACAGCTAACCCACCTAATGACATTCCTGCCAAAGTGGGCACAGATGATCCCTGGCAGATAAATATCTGAATTGCTACAAAAGGCATTTCAGCACTTCCATGAAAGCCAGGCAGGATGGGCTGAGGTCCCTGCAGAAAGCCTCCACCTGAGTAGCACCTAGGAAATGTTTACTACACACTGGAATCTCAGAGACTAACAATATGTACTTACTTTAAATAAGATAATTGTGTAATTAGATTTTTCTATTTTTAAAATCCCCCTGGTTGCAATGTAGTTTATCCGACATTTATTGAACATTTCTCTGGAAGAGACTCAGTCTGCGAGAGGCCTGAAGAAGAGAGGCAGTTAGATGTAAGCCCTGATAAAGACTCACATTTCATTCATAGCCAGAGCCTGAATGTGCTCTTCTTGTACCTAAACAGATAATGAGCACTCCGCACACTCCCCCTCCTTGACACAGCACACTGAGACTAATCACGCATAATTGGAGAGGAGGAGCAGAGGGCTGGACACGCTATTGTGTCCCGAGGACAAATGGTCAGTTTATGAGGCTTTGGGCTGAGGCAGTCATTTCTTATACATCTATAGGGGAAAAAAGAAAAAAAAAAGCATCCTGTTTAAAAAGAAAAAAATAATGAGAGAGACAGAGACAGAGAGACAGAGCAAGAGATGATGGATTGAAACAAGTAACTGGGACATGAGAAAGATTTATTTATTTATTATTTATTTAACCAGAAAGAGTGATGTTTTCTGTTTACAGGGAAAGACTACTATTAACAAACAGAACAAAGACAATTATAAAAGAGGGGGACAGGTGGGAATTATCAAAAGAAATTCTGCTTTAGAGAGAAAAATATTTAGATTGCTCGCAAGCCCAATTCTGATCTCAGACAGGCTGCTGACACATAAAAACACACAGAGGTTAGGGACGGAAGAGCAACAAGCCAGGGGGGCAGAGTCCCAGAACCAAGGTGTGGAATGTGGAAGAGTGGCTGCGGTCCTGAGTCTGGGGCACCGATGGCAGAGGCCTCATCTGGTGAAAAGAGTTCCCTGTGTGTGCGGCGTTCCCTCGGCCTTCTACCCCTTTTTGGTTAAAATAAGCAGAAGGGGGTAATGGAGATTTTCTTCATATATGTCCGAGTTTTCTTCTTTCAACTGAAAATAACAGAAATACAAAGTAAGAAGAGTCAAAGTAAGGAATTTTCATTTTAGCATTAATGTTAATTTTACTATGTTTGCTACCTGAATTTATGATTCTGGAAATGAATCACAGAAAAGCAAGTCAGCGTAGTTTCCAGTGGTACTGGCATGATGGTGATATTAAAGTAAGACCCTGGGGGGGTTGTTGTTTGTTTTGTTTTGTTTTGTTTTAAGTGAAGATTGGGTGTTTCTTTCTGTTTGTTTGTTTCTTTCCATAAGAAAGTACCCAAACTGAACTTCCTCTCTCCCAGACTAGCACTAGGCTAGTCTACCTCAGTCCGGTCCTTGCTGCCCTGGTCAGCGCCACACCGCTCCACTCAGGCAGGGGTGCTGGATGACTGCCCAGAGACCATGGCAACATCCGGACACTGTGGGTCTGTGGGCTCAGACCTGTCAAAGGCCGCCTAGGTCCTCCTTGGGGCCCTTAAGGGCAGTGATTGATTCAGGACCCCACCCCCACTCCCAGGGACATATCCCAACACCTGATGGTGCTAAGGTGGATTTCTGACAGCCTTCTGTGATACAATTTTAAATCCCAGCCAACCTTCAAACCTAACACACACATTCTGGGAAATGTGGGGGAGGGGTAGACTTTATCCCTCTCCCCCATTTGGCTAGAATAAATCAGACATTTATATTTATTATATAAATAGCAGTTTGTTTCTTCTTCCTCCTCCTCTTCCGGTTTCTCTTGAGACGGGGTTTCTCTATGTGACCTTGGCTATCCTTGAGCTCACTCTGTAGACCAGCCTGGCCTTGAACTCAGAGCCAACTACCTCTGCCTCCCTGAGTGCTAGGATTAAAGGCCTGTACTACCACACCTAGCATTTTTGAGCCAACTGTTAATTTATTTTTACTTTATCAGGATCAGAAATCTTTTCACTATATAGGAAAGCAATTCTTTACTTCAAATCAGTCACTACTATTCACCCTAAAACATCCCACAAAGGCTCCACTATCATATTCTGCAACTCATATGTTCACGGCATCATTTTGAAGTACCTGTCTTTTCTACATCCTATTCCAAAATGGTGACATGTCTTCAGTACTCAGGACAGGAGTCATGAACCTACCTTCTCCACTAAGACCTAAAGCCAATTTCATTTTCTCTTCTTCTTTTCTTCCTTTCTTTCTTTCTTTCTTTCTTTCTTTCTTTCTTTCTTTCTTTCTTTCTTTCTTTCTTTCTTTTTCTTTCCTTTCTTACTTCTTTCTTTCTCTCTCTCTCTCATTTATTTTGTTTTGTTTTAAGACAGGGTTTCTGTTTGCAGCCCTAGCTGTCCTGGATCTGCAGACCAGGCTGCCCTTGAACTGGAGATCTGCCTGCTCCTGTCTCCAGAGTGCTGTGATTAAAGGCATATGCCACCACCACGCCTCACTCCTTTCTAAGCTGCTTTCCTAAGAGGAGTGCTGTGGTTACTGCTGTGACCTCATTTTGCTTTCTTGGACGTCTGCTTAGAACAGACTCTGCCACCAGAGCATCAGCAGTGTCCCTCACTCTCTGGTCTAACAGTCATGGGAATTTTGGAGGAACTGGCTCACCAAGCCTGCCGCCCAAGCTGGCTCAACGGACACACCTTAGTCACACATCGCCCTAGCAACAGAACAAGCTCATTGAAAGGTTTCTCAGAGAGGAGAGGGGTCCACAGGAGCTAAGTTCTTTTCTCGGGGACTGGGGATAAGGGAACATTGATCACTCCAATCGAGTCAGCTGACCTACTCACTCTCCAGGCAATAATATCCAGAGCCTCAAATGAGCTCTTTATAAAGTCCCTGAGGCAATTTACGGGGTAAATAATTCTTCTGTAAATATGGTTTAGAAATCACTTTTAACTTGAATTCTGTGCTGACCTCTGGAGGCCAAAGCAGAGGTTTGGCTGCCGGAAGGGGCAAGGGGCCAGCCAGAGTCCTTCCTCTGAGCCTTTCTGGAAATAGGGGGCTCCCCACTTCACAAACACCCACCTGGTTATCTCTGAACTGAGAAAACCTGTTACAGTAGAGTCCTTGAACACACACAATGTGTTAGGGAATACTGGCATGGATAGGGGAGGGGGAGGGATGTTACAAGGCTTGAGAATCATTCCATTCATCCAGGCTATACTTCTTTGCTCAATTAATAATTATAATTTTTAAGAAGTAAGAAAGCACCTTCGGGGGGAAAAAGGAACAAAAAGCAAATTGTGAATAAAACAATTTTTCAATTTCATAGGTTAAAACAGGGTCTTTGAGGACTGCACTAAATGATACAGCTGTTATTAGCAGCATTCTCTTTCCCTTCATAATTGGATGGAGCATACTCGGCCTCGATGCAGCGGGAACAGCAGCGGGAGTGGAGTTCAGACTGTTTACCCTTTACAGTAGCCACAATTATCAACAGCACACCGCACAGATTACAAGCACCAGCCACTTGTAACGTGGCATTTTGAATAGATAAGCAGAAGTGCAATATGGCCGTGCATTTCACACAATGTACTGACTTCGCAGCCCAAGCCCCCTACCCCACCCCCGTTTTTTTCTGGGCTAAGTAAAAAAAAACAAAACAAAACCAAAAAACCCACCAGAAAATAAAATCTCTGGTGGTTTGTGCCAAAGTAAAAAAAAAAAAAAAAAAGCAAAACCAACTCATGGCTTGTAAAATTATATTTCGGGAGAACATCTGAGTGGTTTCATCAGCTCATTTCAGGCCGGTGCTCGGTCTAAACCGCTGCTCTCCTGGGCTAAGCCTCTCGCCAGCTCAACAATCCTGTATCTTAGAGGTTTGCCCCACTCTACGGGGCAGTATGTCTGATGCTCAGCCTGGAGAGGCTAAGAAGAATCTGGGAAGGAGAGGGAAGCGTTTTATTTATTTATTTTTTTCTTCCTGCTGCCCGGACAAACAGAAAGGGAGTATTTGAAACCGGTGCTACACCTTTGGCTGCCTGTCCCTGAGCATGCCGGCTGCTTGGTGTGGGCACGGCTTAACAAAGGCACGGGCAGAAAGTGCAGAATGGCACCGTTTTGATTACAGGCTTGCTTTTTAACGGAAATAAAATTTCACAGTTAACAATGAGAGGTGAAAAGTTTAAGAGGCAGAGCTGTTCCCCCTGATCGCTGACTGTTAATCAGCTTCATGGGTGGTTGCCTAAATCTGTAGATTTTTTTTTTTTTTTACCTTGCACTACTGCCAAGATTGTAACTAATTTTTTCCCCTGTTGTAAGAGGAGGGGTGAAAACTCGGCATAGGAGGCAGCTGTGTATGAGTGACGTGAGGCACTAATGCAGAGGGCAAAATTAAAATTCATGAATCTCTTCACAACCATTTGTGTAACAAGATTAAGACGGGACAGCGGAAAAGAGCGGCATTATCAGGCGTCTTACAGTCCTCCAGCTGCTTACGCTCTATTCCAACACAGTAGGCCTAAGAGGATAACACGCAGCCCGAAGGGAAGCTGCTCCTCCGATGGGGAGCAGGCGCAGCCCAGGGACGGTGGGCTTTGGCCAGAGATGCAGAGGAAGAAAGCTGATTGCTGCTCAAGATGGAAAACTTTTAAGCCCTGGCTATTAGCAGGCGGCCAACAAAAGCCACCAGGGAAGAGGCTCCCTCAGCCGAGCCGGCCTCAGCTTCCTGGAGCCGCATGCAGGTGGCAGGGATAGGACACTGCCTTTGACCTCACTGGGCTGGGGCTGGGTGAGCAGGGACAGGGCTCTCCCCCTACTCATCCACTGGGTCCCTCGGGTTCCTGCTCTGCTGGGGTGTGTGTGGTGGTGGTGGTGAGGTGTGAGTCTGCTGAAAAAGAAACACAAGGGATGAGCATCCTTGCGCTAGAAGCAAGATGTCAAACTAATCGAAATAGCACTCATTAAACACACACACACACACACACACAGACACACAGACACACACACACACTCTATTTATTTATATCTTTGTCCCAGGACTGCACAGTATTTCCCCTGGGTTCTACTTCCTGAGAATGTCAACCACAAGGAAGACTGTTTTTAAGCCCATCGTCAGCAGAGGAAGGAATCTGACTTGTAAGCAAACCTAAGGCCATTTAATTATTCAAAGAGATGTATTTGTGTCTGGGCCAGTTAGTCAGTCAGTGGGGACCTACCAAGTGCAAGCTGGGTAGAGTACACAATGTGATGCTGGAAACACATTCAGAGGTTTTCTGAGCGTGCTGTGCTTAGCGGGATAGGGCACAGCACTAGAAATCAAAGGAGGAGGCTGCCAGCCACTACACACTGACACTCAAGTTCTACACAAAGGACAGGTGGCACCAAGGACTCCTTGTGCCTTGCCTGTCCCATCGTACTTCAGATGTTTCAGAGAAGAGACAAGGGGTCTCAGGGGGCAATGCCAACCATCTCTGCTGGTGGAAGGACCCACACCTTTGCTCTCCTGAGCTGGCACTAAGAAACTAAAAGCGTCTGTTGTTCCAGGGAGCAAGTAGATGACAGAATGTCAAAGCAGCATCAGCCTGACCCCTGTAGTTCCAGTCTGACCCTTAGAGAAGGCCACCGCATTGCTTTGGTTGAAGGTGCTCAGGGCCCAGGAGAGACACTTCCCCATCAGGTAACCCCTCAGAGCTATTTCTTTTGTTCTGGGGAGAGGGTAAATGGTGGGGGTGGGGGGGGAGCCTTATTACAGAGAAGCAGGTGAGATGTGACTGACTTGCCATTTGGTTCCTCTTTTCTGATTGTAAGGCGTCCTTCGATTCCACCAGGGAGAGGATGCTATTTAACTTCCAGTTCTCAACACATCATCCACTCCCACCCAACCCACAGGCTAAACGGAGCCCTAGACACACAAAGAAAACAACCCATTTCAAGGAAGTGAGAATAAGGGTCCTTTCTCTAGCTTGGGAGAGCTGATCCGTTTCGAATATGACTTTTCGGTAGCCAACATACTTATTTCTACGTTACATTAAAGAATGCTATTCACATTGTCCCAGGGGAAAATTAAGGTCAAGCTTTTCCTTCTCTGCAGTCATAGCTTGTGGAAGCATGACAAGTCAGTATCTCTCACCAAGGGCAGATGAGCTCAGCAGAGGGAGATTTCTGTAAGGCACAAAATTACACAAGAAATTCGTGTTAGGCTAGTCCCTGTGACAGGCACCAGCAAACGTGAGAATCCTAAAAACTTTTCCATGAAATACTCACCTCTTGGTGTCCTATATTGCCCTATACCCATAAATAATAAAAAGGCTGATAACACTGCTTTATGTAAGCAGGCTTAGAAATCACTCTCAGATAAGTGCTTTTGACCTAAATCTTGTAGCGCCTCAATCTGACATATAACCTCGCAACTGTGAAATTCTGTATGAGATTTAACAGTCTCAAACTGTCAACTGACCCAGCCATAAAGCAAGCAGAGATAGAGATTTACAGTCCAACATGATACAATTAGACATTCACCTTCTATTTATTTCAGTTCGGCTAAGCATTTAACCTACTTAAAAGCCGAAGGTTTTTCATTAGAAAACAAATGCATGTTTGTCATTCATTCTAAGCCGCCTCCTCTTACAACTTGCAAATTAGTCCATTATGAATGGGAAAGATTAGTTTGTTTCAGAGAAAGGGGTAAATAGGAATGGTGTCTGTAAAATCCTCCTAGACATGCAAAGATAAAAGATGGCTTTGCCACACAAAATCATCAGATACATATAGTTGTTCGGAAGCAACACACCTAAAGAGTACTTTAATCAAATATTTAGGTTACCTGCCAAAAAGTCCATGATCTCTTCAAAATGCAACGAGGATTAAAGTGTTATCTAGCAAAAGCAGAAAACTAACCTTGGAGTGGAAGTTTGAAATGTGTTCATCATAATTTTCATGTCTTTGGAGAGAGAAACCAGCTTTTTCGGCTAGACTGCAAAACTGGTTGAAAGTATTCCCTCGGCGTGGGGCAAATACCATTGCTTTCCCCTAGAACATTAAAAAAGAAATTCCCACAGTTTAAACCTGGAAAGCAACCAGACCCAACAGACATCAGTCAAAGCATTTACCTTCACCTCTCAGGTACAGAAACTTAACTGCTCTGGAGACCTAAGGGGGATGAACATTCATAGGAAGAAGCCTTTCAAGGACAGATAAGGAAAAGAATATTTCATACCCAAGTTGCCATGCTATATTGTACGATTTCCAAATAATGCATATGTAATAAACAATATGTGATCAAAAGCTGCTGTTCTGAACAATGCCATATGGCCAGTCTATTGTTTTAAGTCATGGATCTTAGAGTCTGGGGTGGCTGCTATCGCCTGTGACTCCTTCATACCTGCCAACACAGCCACAGCAGGGTTCTGACGCCTGTACATGGTAGTTTATTATGCCCTGAAGATCAGGTGCCAAGCTACTCTCCATAGAGACCAGTAACCACAGTCCACGCTGGAGCCTTCTCTCATTTCAGTCCTGTTCCTGAGCCTTTTCTGTGACCCTCCTCGTCTGGGACAAGGTTCCACAATCTAGGTTTCCATCTCCAGGGACTCCCTCTGAAAGGTCCACACTGTAAGAGGGCAACTCCCTATAGCGAGCAAGTGAGAGTGGCACTGTGCAGGCAAGCAGGCATTTCTGAATAGCTCCATAATCTGAAGAGGACTGTGGTCATGAGGAGAACCTGAGTAAAATGTACAGTGGACTTCAGAAGCCAGTGTGACAAGACCTTTCACAATGACCCTTTACTAATGCCTGGAGAGGTGTGGATCTCCCCTTGCCCTGACACGCTTGTTTCTTCATCTATTTTCCTCCCATCAAGCAGAAACAGGCACCTACCTGCTTCTGCTAGTTCCATGCTACTTTCATCTGTGAAATGTCATCCTAGGCTCTGAGAAAATGATGAAATATACTCCAGCTCCCTTTTTTTGCTTGCTGTTTGGTTGAGGCAGTGTCTTATTATGTAGTCCAGGTTAGCCCCAAATTTGCATTCTTCCTGCCTTCACCTCCCAAGATCTGCAGTTGTAGGCATGGGTTACCATGCCGAACATATTCCAGATTCTTATGACAGAAAGTTCTCGTTCATCCCTACCAGGCATTTACTGGTACTGTGGGGTGTGCCAGACAATGGGCTCAGCTACATATACATCACCTTCTCTAGTTTCCGCCTTATGAATGTATTCTCAGGCCTGTGCTACAGAAAGTTGGATAACTGGCCAAGGGGGCAGAACACAGGTTGGAGAAGACACTCATCCACCTGCCTCCAATATGGATGCCCTTTCTCTCTATTCCATAGTGTCCTTATCAGCCACAGTGATGACAATGATAATGACAGCTACCAGTGTGCTAGCTGCTTCACAGACCTTCTTTAATCCCTTCAACACCCTTCTCCACAACCTTGCAGACAGAAGACATTGTACTTTACAGGTGAGTAAGCAAGTGGTGGAGGGTTTGAAAAACAGTAGGAAGCATGGGGCGGAAGGCATCCTGGACTTGAACATGGATGCCCACCACCCATGCCTACCATCAGACAGTTGCGCCACCTCAGGGCAACCAGACTCAGAGCCAGGAGGGGTTCTGGAGCTGCTTTAGTCTGATCTCTTGATTCTGCACACAAGAACCTGCAGCCTTCCTGGCTGACCTGCTGGCTTTGCTCATCCACCTCATGGGAAGAACCAAGCCGCACAGCCCTTTGTTTTTCCTTCCAGCAAGCTGTGAGGCTCCAGTGAAGTGAATGTAAAAATAATCTGAAAAGCAAGGCTATTCAGACATAAGATTGGGAAAGATCCATATTACTCAGCCATGCTATACGAGCCCTCACCCCACTCCATCACCTGCAAGAGAAGACACTGCTACACAGCCCTGGACATCAAGTGTGTTTTCACACTGTGTTTACGCAGACATATACACACTCAGGCACATAATTACAGCAGCGCCAATCATGCCACTAGACTTAAGGTTCTGTCAGCTTTGCCAATATTAATTGCTATTTTCAGGCAGTTTTCAAACTTAGCAGCAAAAATTCATTTTCATGTGAAACTAGATATAATACACGGTCTCAGCAGGAGAGCATGGCTCTCCTTTTTTTTTTTTTTTTTTAAGGGGCAGGGGAAAGGAGGGAATACCAGTAGGTCATTTCAGTCATTTCAACAGACTGGTTGCCATCTTAGAGTTTTGAATAATGGAAGTTGTTTCATTTCGAAGTCACCTGCAAAGATTGTCATACAGTTACAATTTGAGGAGTTGATTTTTTTTACAGCTATTATCTAAGCTATATATCATAGCGTTTCAGGGTGACAGGATTCTTGGTTGGGCTGATGCTTGTATTCACAAAGTGCATGCTTCCCACATCCCCCTCACTACTGGGTTGGGAGTGGATGGTTAGCTAAGAAGTGTTTTCTGACGAAACACAATTCTTCTGCTTAAGGCTCAGTTTACCCTCTATTGCTAACACATGCATCCAGGATTGTAGCAAGCACCCCGCTTCCCGTCACAAGCCTCTACATCATTATTGCAGCTCTAGTTTTGTTCTTAGTACTTATCATCACAGACACACACTACACAGCCTGTTTGCTGTTTCTGGTCTCCTCTGGCCGGATCGCATGCTCCATGACAACAAGGGCCTCTGACGCTTCCTGCACTGCACTTCCTCAGTGCCTCGCAGATAGCAGGTACTCAGTCAATATTTGTTGAAAGAATAAACTAAATCCTGGTGCTGAATAATCTGAAAAACACCAGTCTTTGAGAATCTGAAGGCTGCATTCTATTGCTTATTCTTTTGAAGAGATTTTCTCCAAGAGGCTTTCACAGAAGCCAGCTCTAGGGCGGGACTGCAGAGGGCACCCAACTACCTAATCCAGCACCCATAGAAGGAGAAAGAGGGGGTGGTAGTGTTGGCCCAGGATTAGTTATGAGTTTTACAATTTTTTTTTTAAATTTCATTTTGTTGAGTATAGGTACTCTGTGATATGGATTCATGTTCTGGAGGACGATAGTATACAATTCATCCATTTAATGACATCTACAAAGCCCTATCGGGTGCCAGTCTCTGCCCCAGGCTGTAATAAGTGGTTTTAAGGGCAGCCACCCTTGCTCTCAGTGTCCCCAGGGGAGCAGGGCATGCCTGTGGAGAGGTACAACCAATGGATGTGCCTTACAATTTAAGCTGCAAAAAAAAAAAAAAAAAAAAAATCAAAACAAGGAAAACAATATAGATTTCAAATTGGCACATTACCTTAGAAAAATTATTTTCAATTTACCGAAGTGCAACGCCCTAAGCATTCAGCCATGGAGTCATTCTTAAAACTCACAATGGACACTCAATTGAATGTAAAATTTGACTGGTGGGCAGGAATTCTGAAGAATACACTTATTCCTGGAGAGACAAGAGAAGTTCCACTTGGCAATAACGGCACTGTTTACACCTACAGTGAGCTCCGCTGGGCTGCTCCACGCTCAGGTATTAAAGGGTGTACACTTGTGGGAAAATAAGGGTGCTTCAAATTTTTTAAAGAAAGGAATGTGCCATGCCACTGAAAGACTTTCACCCCCTTCCTCTTCCTGGCAACCAATTATTAAATACCGATTACATGTTTAAGCTTCTGCTTATTTTTGGCTTATTTACCTGGTTTCTGACATGCAGCCTTCACTCCCTTCTGCCTCTCCGGCTCCCTCTCTCTTCCCCCTTGCCTGGCTCCTCCTCTCTCACTAGCTCTTTAATTGTCAGTGGCCCCCCAGGCTTCTGCCTACTTTTTCTTCATGGTCTGCATAATTCTAGGCAACTGCACTGAAGTCCACAGCTTCAACTATCACTTAAACATCAATCATTCCCAACTGCAGCATTCACCCTGGTGAAGGGTCCACCCCCATCTTTCCAGGTGCCTCCTCATCTCTGCATGTGGACATTCTGAAAATATCTGTAACCATTCTGTCTTATGTCTTGGCTCCAAACCTTACCATTCTCAAAGCACTAGCCATCATCCTACTGCACCACCCTCCCACACGCATGCCCAGATACACAGAGCTCAGGACCTATGTGGTGTGCTATGTTTCCACACTCATGCCCAGCTAGAAACATGGGGGTGAGAGCCTGTCACTTTCTTTTCGGGGTCTCACATGGCTCAAGCTGACATCCACCCCAACCCATCCTCTTGTTTTGTCTTCCAAGTAGTGGGATTACAGGCATGTGCCACCACACCTGGTAAGGTCTTTCAAAACCTCATCGCCGTGTCCTCCTACCTTCAAGTGTGTTCTGAACTGCTTTTGAAGGGAAACTGAAGGGACGAAATGAGGACAGGGCTGGAAGCAGTTTTCCATTTTGCTCTTCTCTTCTTTCCTTCCTTCTTTCCTTCCTTCCTTCCTTCCTTCCTTCCTTCCTTCCTTCCTTCCTTCTTTCCTTCCTTCCTTCTTTCTTTCTCTCTTTTCTTTCTTTCCTTTTTTTTTGGTGCTAGATCTTGTGAATGGCATATGCTTTAGCACTGAGCCACACCTCAACCTTACTGGGATGCTGGCTAGACAGTCTTTGCAATAAAACGGGGTCTGAAAATTCCTGAGATGGGTTCTGACTTTTTGGGATGGCAGACATAGCCCCATGTGACCTGATTCGCACCATCACCTACCACTGTTTCTGGGCCTCCCATACTCTGCCCTCTAGTCAGTCTGAACTAATTACAGCTGATACGTTCTTCCATGCATCCCCTTGTCTTTAAGCTTGCGAACATCCCTGCGGGCTACAGGGTCCTTCTACCTCCACTTCTTCTTTCTTCCTGCCTGGCAAGCTCTTACTCACCCCTCAGCACCTGGATGAGACACCCTGAACCTTCGATGCCTTTTCTGACTGTCTGTGGCCTCCACACTAGGTCCTTCCCAAGCTGTCATTTCCACTCCCTGCCCCCATGGGTTACTACACTTTTGCTCTTTCTTGACCCAGCATGTGCACCTGCTTGTTTCCTTGGGGTAGGGCTATGTTCTTCCTCCATCTTCTGCTCCTACTT